CGCGGGTTAGAAGATGTATTAATGTACACAGTGTACGCAGGCGATACTGTTGAGAGTTGAGAGTACTTAGATCCTTATGGTAATGAGTATAGATAAGCTACCCCACAAGGCTTCATAACCGCAAGTCAATAATGTTAACAATGTGAGATTACGGATGAAGGAAATACTTTTGATAAATGTTTGATTAGAATGAATTTTTATATCAATTTAAAATATATAGCAATTCATTCATATCGTCCATAACAGTAAAAAAAAGTTATTCAAATAACAGGATATAGTTCTTCAATGTATTTCCTATCGAAGTTCCCTTTTCGTATCAATATAAATAATTTCAAATTTATTTCAGCGCCGAGATCCATAATACATCCACCAAAGACGATAACACGATTACAGAGCTACTTTCGAAAGCACCATCGCCGTACTAATACCACCCCTCTCGCATGGTCTTTGATCTTCGGTCGAGCCTTATACAATTTCAATTACACGCCCTTATAAAATTATAGCCTCTTTGAATCAGATTTCAAATCATCAGTAGAACCACCCTCGATGGACAAATTTAAAAAAAATATACCTATATATATATTCAATTCTTTCACTCTTCTTAAAAAAGAAAACTTTTTGAAAAATCCCAAAGAAATTCCTTCATCCTAGAAATACAATTAAATTCTCTATAGAATATTCCCGATTAATAATGATGAAAACTTAAAGAACGCTATATATTTTTTTTCATTACACAAAAATCCTTCGAAGATTGATAATAGAATTCTTCGCAAAGTCGTTAGCGCAAGAATTCGAAGATTAATTGTCCCTTTGATTGTTAAAGCTATATAGAAGCTATATAGAAGTGGTTCCATTCAAGTTATTCGATAAGCCAAACGATAATCGATCAAAGATCCCATAAAAGACCGGAAACGTGTCGGGATGATTAACATTTTCAATGGTCCGCCTGCAGGAATGCTTCAACTTATCGGTGGATTAGCGTATACGCAGATATCGGACGGATGCTTGTGACTCGAGATGATACATGAACATCGATACACCGGCCGTTGCTAATCAGTTACACTAATTAACCATGTTAATGGATATTGCAAAGCGTCTCGAGCAAAAGCGGAGAGAGAGAGTAATGCGCATCGATCGATTCTTCGCTTCGACGAGTTTTGGTTCATCAATTTTGTTCAATGCAGATTAAGAACTTCTTAATGTATCATGTTGAGGGAGTTGAACAAACTGATTAAAGCGATAGAGTTTGTGATTATTGATAAATGTACTGAGACAAATTTGTGGAGAATATATCGAAACCTCGTGATATTTTCTTGAATTTTTATGTATTTCTTTTTCTTTTTTTTTTTTTTTTTTTTTT